CGGGTTAAAGTCCCGGCATCTCAAATACATAGTCACAAATTTCCGTCATCTCAAATACGTGGTCTTTAAGTTCGGGGTTAAAGTCCTGGCCCCAAGTTCACAAAGCATTCTCAGACTTAAGTTAAGAATTTACTCAACTTTCAATCACTGTTTATGAGAAATATCTTTGATCCAGAAACACAAAACTTTGTACATAGTTTCTTACTGATGTATTTGATACATTAAAACAACAAACAATGCTTTGTGAACTTGGGGCCTGGCATTTCAAATGCATAGTCGCAAAGTCCCGGCATCTCAAAACGATATTCAAATAGTGTCATAGACTGGGTTATATCCCAAGATTGGATTTTTTTCATAGACTTGGCCGAGGCAGCAAAAAGCATCCTAGGCGGAATAGTCCATTGACACCGCAAACTGTCACTTGTTCGCGTGACTTGTCGATTCAAGTCAGTAAAAAGAGACATATATTTCCTCAGTAACAACTTGAAATAACAGTAAAGCAAATTCAACCAATGATCTACTTGCGACAAGATCTGGTCGGCAATTCCACTACGCGCCAAAAATAAAATCCAGTCCTTGGTGTAAAGTGAAAACTTAAAAAATAAACGAAGATAAAACAAAACGAAGTAGTAATAATATACATGAGCATTGTATACGTCATCAACTTTTGTAAACAAACAGACAATAGAGAATGAAAATCCTGAAATTAGACCCAAAATCGTGTGATGTTTATAACCAAACTCTGCTTAATTTCATTTTTAAATTTCTGGGAAAACAGGAACTTTAACAACTACCAGTGCTTGTTTTCAGACTTGATTATTACATGAATGCGTTTTATCTTGGTGGAGGAAAGTTTTCGTTCTTCGATTCCTGAAAACTCAGAGATTATCAAAGTTTTTGAGATTGTTTGTTGTCTTTGATTCAGTTAAAACTTTATATCGTGCCCAGATGCCAGCTGTAATATTTTATGATAAGAATAAATACGTCACAGAATAGTTTAGCAATGGTAAATATAAATATCAATGTATTTAAGTATAATGTGATGAAAGGTTTTATATATTCCACAGAAATTCGGTCGGTTTCTAAGTTTCGGATCAGCTTCATCTTGCATTATGTTCTGATAGTCTTATTCACATATGAGAAGTGGCATTGGGTGTTCTGGGAGGTGTAAAAGCAGATTCTGCCTTGTGGACACAGTCATTTACTAGGCCTACTCATAGCCTTTGGAAGCATAGGGTTGGCTCAAATGACGTGGTTTCGATTTCATGACAAGGAGTAGGTCGCCTGTCCAACCTCGTAGTTTTTCCACGGGTCATTTGGTTTCCTTCCACAGCTAAAGACCCTACGCGCAAGCGAATTATTATTGAAATAAAACTGAACCATGTGTTAGTCCCGAAATGACCGAGTTAGTGTCGAGTGGACGTTAACACCTCTCTCTCTCTCTCCCTCTCTCTCTCCCTTATGGAAGCAATATTTTAAGATACAGCTGCAAACGTAATTTAGCATATCGTTAAAATATAAATCAGGACAATTCGGTAGTGTTATAGACGTAAATAGTTCTGGAGGATTCCACGTAAAACATAGCCACTATTAAATCCCCTGACTGATTATGACAAGTCCTGACAGCTAACTAATCTGTCATGTCCAAACATACGGATGCACCTGCTACAGATATCTATAAACTAAATGTCTTCGTTAGAGCTATGAAAAAAAAACAAAAAAAAAAACAGAAATAGTTTTTTCGAAGTGGAAAACAAAAGGTCTGAGTAGGAATTGCAGGACAGGATACAAACATAGAATTGAAAGTTTTCCGTCGGGCTTCTTGAGCTAAAAATAGACTCCTATAATTTAAAATTATCTGTATTGCTGATGTTCGATGGTTCTATCTGTTGAGTGACACAAAAAACATTTTCACTTGTCAAACGTTGCCTTCATAGCTGGATGTACTATATTTTTAAATGCATCTTTTGGCAAAGTTGCAAAACACCAACTTCAGATAAGACGCGATAAGAGACAAATGATTCTTACATTTAAATTTCTCCACTTTTAGAGATGGCCCCGTTCCAGGGCAGAAATTCAATTTTTATGAATTGTTCTAAACTCTAATAAACAAATGAGCCAGCACTCTAATGCATTGTCTACAGGATGAGGTTACACGTACTGTCTACTAAGCAATCCTGACTTCTCAAATCATAGCAGCCACGGTGATTCAGTGAGTAAGACACTGACTCACCAACCAGTAAGTCGCGAATTCGATTCAGTTGTTTGCCAAGAATGTTCCTCGGGATATTCCGGTGTGATTTGTCCTTAGTTTACGGGACAAAGGGCTTGGCAAAAACAGTGTCTAGTCGTTCGAATGAGATGGAAACCAGAGGTCGCATCTGCACGTTGACGGGCACGTAAAGGAGCCCAGTGCATACTTTAAGGAAAATGCACGAAATATCTATTTGGGAGAAATCTAGAACCCTTCAGTCATTACATATCTTGATTTGAAGTATACAATAAAGGATTTTTTGTTGCCGAGCGGCGTAGGGGAGCCATTTTTCTTTTCTTTTGTTTTTCTTTTTAAATATTTAAATACAAAACGTGCAGCTTTATCCGAAAAAATAAGCTAAATCTCTAATCCAATTGTATCCATAATATTCGACATTAAAAACACTAATCAGAATATGATATTGGTCGATTTCCATCAATATGTTTGTTGTTTTAATGTTACCGATATTTAAGACACGGTGAACATTTTAAAATCAGTGAGCGGCGCCGTTTTCTCTCTGACCTTGACCTCCATTTCTAACGAGGCGCGTTGGGGAACTAGGCAAAACATATTCCAGCACAAATCCCAACGGAAACGAAAGTGAAATGTCAAACCGTATACACGGTGTAGACTGGGCTAACCAGTCGAAAATGACTGCTATTCAATTTGGATTACTCAGTATTTGCTCGAACATAACTGATTAGAAATTACAATTAAAAAATCTGTTTGTTTTTTAATTGAATGTAAATATATATTCATATTACATTAACATGTACATTTCCACCTAATCCGTCCATTTTTAGGTTCCAAGTAGGTTTAACTCCTATAAAGCAGCTTTCAATGGACTGTGAATCATCATTGGTTTTGCTATCATATATAACAGTGTTTAAAGATCTACTATGTACCACACTTTTTATACAACTTGGTATGCTATAATTAATGACTATACTTAGTAAACACAGGTACTTGGCGTTGATATATTAGCTAAGAAACAAAAACTAGGGCAAACAATATTAAGACTTAAGCACATGGTATATAATTTTACTAATGACTCTACTTAGTAAACGCAAGTACAAGTATTTAGTGTTGATGTATTAACTAAGAAAAGAACTGGTGCAAAGAATATTAAGAGCATGTTTGAGAGGCTGTATATTCTTTAGCTCATTAAACAAAAAAACTTCTCTTTGATGTATAATACTAATAGATCCAGTATATAGCCATGATTGTCAAGAAGCTTTTAATATAATGAAGAATTTTAAATCCTTATTCTGAACAGTAGGAACAGATAACGAGAGTGCCAACAATCCAAGCTCCAGACTAACAGGAAAAGAAAATGTTGGAAAATATATTAAAAGCATGGACTAAAGCGAGAGCTTTGTTATTAAAAAAATATGCCAATATTTCTTGGAAACGACAACGAGCGTGTCAATAACTCTAGCGTCAAACTAACCGGAAGAGAACTCTATTGGTAGAGTGTTGACATCATTATTTAAACATACATTATGCAAGAGCTAAATCTGCCTATTGCAGATCTTTTTTTTAGGCCTGAAATGTTATATAAACTATTAATTAGACATTTATTAACAAAACAAGACTATAATCGACTCTCGATGGCATCGGATACTCGAGATTTTAACTAGATTAAAACGGTTATCCATTTAAAAATTTAATTTAAAAATGGGAAAGCGCGGCTAAGTCCCGATTATACCAGTTCCCTGATTACCACTGTGCACGCATCTTGTCAAAACTACAAACAATGATAACTTGGCTGAGAATGAAATAGTTTGAAATTTTCAATATTTTCTTTTTTCATCATCTATTTTTGAATTATTATAGCAAGAATAGCCAACTCTTTATCAAACTAATGTATCTTTAAGATTTTATGAATAAGTCCCCAGAATGTTCTGATTAAAATACAGATCTATATTTCGTTTCGTTTTTAATACTTTCGATGGCCTACACTACATGAAGATCCGACCGGATGTACTGGAAGGTCGCGTTTGACACTATGACGCCAGGCATTGATTAATCAATCAGCGTTGACGTTTCTAGTGGTTTACCCACAGTTCCGTGCATCGTATGCCAAGAACTCGCCGTAACAGACAGTTTCATTGACTAATCCCTCACTTCAACCAGAATGCCGGTAATATAACATCTCTTCCAGATCCTAGTGTAGTAAAGACAAGTAAAATGAAATTTTGAACTATAAAAAACGAAACGAAATTCAATCAGATTTTAGAATGTTAGAATAACTTATAAGGAAAATGAATAATGCGGGAAATGACATGAAATTGGGTTTAACGTCCACCGACTGGGCTCATGAAGACGAGCATGCACTATGCGGCGTGCTATGGGAGTAATTTTGCCAGGGTAGCGGCGCTACGGTCTAATCATATATCGAATTTCAACTGTTGTGCCTTCTTTACGTGCATGACAGTGTGTACACGGGACATCGGTTTATCATCCCCTCCGTCCTACACCACTACACCACGCCGGAAATATCGATGAACTTTCTCGGTCAAGAACACGGGACATCCAAGTTATCGAGTCAACGTCGTACTCACTGAGCCAGCGTGGCTCCGAATAATGCAGGAACACTGTACAACAAAACAAAGACGTGTACATAAAAAACATAACAAATCCACAAAGTGTTACTAAATGATAAGAACCAAATGTCTAAGTGAATACATGACAGCCATGGAACGTATTAACCAATATCAAATACAGATTAACGGTTCGTTCTTACCTTCATGCTCTAAACAGCTAAAATATTCAATAACTTCCCCCAATATCCACACGTTAATACTACACGCCTCCTATCACTGTCGTCCAAAAACACAGCTCAGTTTCTACCAAAATATACAAGAAACCTTGAAAGATATTCAATGAACCAGAAACTTTTGTTCATCAAGTCTCGTTTCAAGTCACTAAAATACTGAAATCTGGTACTGTTGTATGGAGTTGCTGAAAAACTTTTAGTCCCTGGGCTGTACTCTCCACGCCACTCGACTCGATTCCCAACCCAAGCTCAAAGTGAAATCTGATATGTTGGTAAAAACTGTGTAATGTACGCTAGTTCTGTCTTATAATTCTTCTAAACCTGACGACCCAGTGAACTGACGAGATAATGTGAAATGTATGTGCATTTACATCAAACTTAACGCTTCCAGATAGGTGATCCTACAACAAATACACGCGCGTGCTTTAAGAGCTCAAAACAGTACTTTGATAATAACAAGACTGAAAAAAATGGAGAGACTCTAAATTCAAGAAGTCTATATTTTTGTTGGTTTTCTTACAAATTGTGAAGGTTTGTTTTTGGTTTTTGGTTGTTTTTTTTTTTTTTTTTTTGCTTTCGTCAGAGCTATAAAGATAAGTTTGTGTTACTAAAATAGAAACATGCAGTTAAGAAATTGAAATTATATTTCTAATTTTAAACGTGGGATGTCAGTTTGGTGTATACTGTTAAATTAGTTGGTAATAAACATTATTTCATCCTTACAATACAGTTTTTATTAACCTCGTTTTCCCTCCACAATTATTGTCTAGACCACAGGAAAATAATAAATCGTTTCTGCTGCAGTATACAGCGAAATATTCGTATGGTTATTTTTTTATACAAAGAATGGACTATAACATTTTCCCAAGTAAACATTGGGGGTGGGGTAGGAGGTGATTGCGGGCGCACTATATCACTCATCGGGTCGAGTACTGGACGGTGTAAATCTTCCTATCCGAGCTCGCTTGAAAACAGTCAGTTCTGGTAAACAGGGCCGATGAGACCGCATCTAAAACACCCGATGCCCCTTCTTATTAGTAAAGCCCCAGATTGGCCTCCAGACTATTTATAATATTAGTTTTTGTCTTTTTATTTTCTCTCTTTTCGTTTGTGGTTTAGAGATGGGGGGTGAACTTAAAAATGGTAAGAAAAGATAAGGAAACATATTATAACTAATATTTATGCCAAATGACATGTAGGTAGCAGTTTGTATGGTGCTGATCATCATGACAGAGATACCTAATCCACATACCTGAATATTAGAGTAATATCTAGTAGGCTAGGTATATAAAAAAATCACAACCTTGAGTACACCTGCATGTTATTAAATCTAAGTATAAACTTATCAAAATAGGAAACGTGATATAAACATAGGATTCGTTAGGTTGGCATCACGCTTATGTATAGGTACCAGTTTACAGGTTTTTAAGAGGTGTGGTGTGCTGTTAATATTGATCAGTTGTTGACATCGTCATAAAAAGCGTTAGACCTACGAGGGTAGGACTGCGTCAAACCAAAGCTGTGCACCCTCAAATCAAATTAAAATGAAAAAAAATGGGGTTTAACATCCTATTGTTCTGCTCCAACAGGGATAATGAAGACAGGCATAAGTCATACACAGTGTGCTACGAGGGAAATTTTGTTCGAACAGCGGCTCTGCGGCTTATTCTTATACTGAATTCCAACTGCCAAGGATTCTTGTACATACACGCCAATGTCTACACGGGAATCGGTTTTTCGTCCCATCCAAACGAGTATACGCTGTCCCTTGCGAAGCCCTCTGCCCCTCGTCACTGACATGGGGAAACCACGCTGGAAATTCAGGATGAACTGCTCGCTCAACACTAATATCGAACACGGGAGCTCCAGATTTCTCACTGGACCACCGCGTCTCCATTCCTACATATATATTGTTGGTATCAGACAAAAGTGGATGTGAACAATCTTACTAAATTAACCATAACCCTACATATAGGTGCTCGGATACGAATACAAACAATACCAATAATGACAGAAAATGCCACGGAAAGGCGAAATTAACTCTCAGTTTACCTTCGTTTTGTGATTTCTTTGTCAGTGTGTAAATGCAAATTCCGCTCAAAAACTCATTTATCATAATTCATTGAAAATTAACAAAAACAACGTTGGTGATATATAAATGGGCCAGATGAGGGTAATCACCATAAACCCTTTACGTAAGATTGAGAGAACAAAACTCTTCAATACTGGTGGTCTCTGCCGCTTCTCCATGAAACTATATTTTGAATTGGGCCAGGAGTTCACATTACTCTCCTCCGCCACAGTCTCGAACTCCCCATCTTAGCGTCGCTATCTGGTTTCCATGGAAACTAAGCATGTCAAATAGCGTGGGTTTACAAATTCTTGAAGTTGATGAAATATTCTAGAATTCCCCGACAAGAGTTTGATTACGTTTGATGTAAAATGATACGATTGAGTAAGGTTCTATACACACCGATGTTGAGTTGATCACATACAGAAAGATCAAACACGAGAATTTTAACATTTAAAGAGGTGAAGGCTACTGTGAGAGAAATGAAATGGCGTTTAACATCCTACTTAAATCTGCACTAGCCGGGATATTGAGGGTAATTTGCCCGGACAGCGGTGCTACGGCCTACTCTTATTATGTATATTACATCGAATTCGCTTACGTGCACACCAACCGACTAGACATTGTTTCTAGACAATGTTTACATTTTCATTTCTTTTTTTTCAAATTTGGTGGACATATTATTCTTGCGCTTTTTTTAAAACAAACATGTCCTATTCAGATAATATATATAGGGTGGTTATATCAGTTTTTTTTTTGTTTTTTTTTATTTTCGTGAGCAATGCTGGGTTTGGCTTGAAACATCTCTGTATATACATTAGTCTGGGGGCTCAGCGCGGAGGGGTGTCCATCAAATGGGCACAAAACCAGACCCAACTTTTCTAGAGTAAAATTTTGCGTAGAATGCGATGCTGAGTGGTAATCAGTCCGCCGTTGGGGCGTTTTCGAGATATTCGGGGTCAAAGGTCAAATGGGTTCATTTGCACTGAAAGTGAATGCGCGGTCATTCTTGTATCATGAAAATAAGCAGAAAATGATCGAAAGTAATCACACATTCAATAAAAATGTAAACTTGCTAAATTCACCTTTGTTCTTTGTGACCCCAGAGGTCAAAATGTCACATTTTCCGTTTTAGCACTAGGAAGATTTAAAGTAATAAATGTCGGCGTAAAATATAAAAACTAAAGCGAAACCTGTTCTAATTAATAATAGGAACATTTAAAATTTATCTTTAGGTGGTCTTAGAACCAAACTTTTACTTTGGAACGTCGAAAATGATCTTGCATAACAGAACCAAAACGCTTCGGAGCCTGTTTCAAAAATACGTAAAAACTGTTAAATCAAAATCTCTCTGAATTAGTTTTACAACGAATCAAAATCTCTCTGAATTAGTTTTACAACGAATGCTATTTGTGCCCATTTGATGGACACCCCCCGCGCTGAGCCCCCGGTCTACATGTACAGCAAGAGATATCAAAGTTGTGTTTATTAATCAGCGATAAAGTCATGGCCCTTCTTTTGGACCAAAGGGTATCGTCTTTTCTCTAAGGGTATTTTGAATATAGTATTAAAATGAAAACAAAGAGTGTTTATATTTTCGGGTAAAAGTAGCGCCGTTGCTTTAAACGAATGGCGTTTAACGTCTTACTTTTCTGCTCTAGGTAATAGACAAGTAGGTCTGTATGACGTGAATCATCTTCTCTCAGCTGGACGCCAAATCAATCAGAAGTTGTGTTTTTTAAGGCTCGTGGCAAAAATCAAATCAACCGGCAAGGATCAAATCAATCGGCAAGGATCAAATCAATCGGCAAGGATCAAATCAGATAAGAAGCTCTGTGTTTACGGCTTTCTGTTATTATGGTCTATCAGATTGAGTTGAATGAAATAAAATGGGGTTTAACGTCCTACTGTACTGCTCCTACTGGGCAAATTAAGACGGACATACGTCATGCAGTGTGTTATGGTGGAAATTCTGCCCCGACGGTGGCATTTCTGGCTCGCCGCCCCTCAAATAACATCGGGGGTTTCTTACTTTTCTTTCCCATCCGAACTACTAGACGTTTTTTATTGCAAGATTCCCAATTTCGCAGAACTGACAAGGCGAGACCAGTCTGGAAAATCTCCAGCAACTTTATTGGACGTGTTCATATGGATAACAGTTTCAGTTTTAAATGTATACTAACAAAATGACATGGCTGTGAACTATTATTTAAAACAAAACTAGAAATATGGGATATTTCTTTAATTTAAAACATACTTGCGATCCATCCTGCTTGTTGCCTCTTTACTAAATTTAAAGGAAAGGGCTGTGAGAAGTCATAAAAAAACAACAAATCGAAATATTCATTTAGATTTTTTAAAACATAAGTGATATAGACCAATCTGAAGGGTTGGAACCAACAGACCTAATAGGTGGATACGATTAATCAAAGATGCCTGTTAATTAGTTAGTTCAAATCACTATCTTACAAATTAGCCACAAGAACAGGAATTTTTCCCAAATCAAATCAGCTCGTATCTTAGGTTTCTTTGGGTTATAAACATTAATTATCCGGTGACCCTGTGACCTCGAGTAACATGGATTCTTGTTACTATGGTGATGTGTAAAAGAAGTGAAGTGTTTAGATGATAAAAGATTAGTATAAATCTTTAAATAAACTGACATATTTTTTAACTAGTTCCATTTCTGATGCTTACATTTTTTTTATCCAATCCTACTCTATTTTTGTTTCATTTTTTAAATGAACGAAGTTGACAGATGCCTGCTAAAAAAAGTTGCACATTATATACTGAATACAGTTTGTACATTTGTCACAAATGAAATGGAGTTTAACGTCCTACTGTTCTGTTACGACTGGGCTAATGAAGACGGGCATACGCCATACAGTGTGCTATGGTGGAAATTTTGCCCAGACAGCGGCACTATGGCCTACTCTTATATCGAATACCAACTGCCATGGGATCTTTTATGTCCACCCTTCTCGGTGGTGTAGGGCAGAGGGTTTGGCAAGGGACAACGTATAGTCGTTCGGATGGGACGAAAAACCGAGGTCCCATGTACATATTGGCGTGTATGTAAAAGAACCCTTAACAGTTGGAATTCGATATATTAGTCCAATCGGGGTGGAACAGTAGAACGTTAAACCCCATTTCATTTCACTTCTATACAATGTGGACCTGTAGATCCGCTCCTAGTACTAACCCTAGGTGTGACTAATCGCCACCAATGAAATATAATGTGCATTTGTGCATTTAATACGAGGCATTAGTATATAAGCTGCGCCACATTTAAAAAAGAC